AAAAAAAAAAAATCCGCACAGATAGTCTGCAAAAGAAAAAGAAAAGAAAATGAAAAGGGGAAGAAAATAAACAAAAGAAGGCCTGTTACTCGATCAAGGTCTGTGTGTTGACCTTTTGGCGCGTTTTCTAGACGAGGCTAATGGGGTGCCACGTAGGACACAGCTTTTAAAGTGTCGCATTATTAGTTGCCATAGCAACTCTTAAGTACAACAGCATGAAACACTGCCAGTCCTGTGCCATCCTCACAATCCTTGTTTGTGCCCATTGTCAATTCGTCTCTTTGAGCTGTCTCTCTTTGCTTACCCTCTAATTTACTGAGCACAATAATGTCCTTTTCCAGGGACTGCCTCCCCTGACAACATGTCCGAAGTATATGAGGTAAAGCCTCACCAGCCTGTCTTCTAAGAGCACTCTGGCTAGACTTCCTCCAAGACAGATTTGTTGGTTCTTCTACCAGTCCATAGTACTTTGAGTATTCTTCACCAATGTCATATTTCAAATACATCTACAAAACAAGAAAACTGTGCTCATCTTTCTAGTTGCTAGGTGGCGATCTTGCATCACTGGTTGGGCCAAATGCCGGCTCGCTGACTACAAACATTAGGGTAGATTAGCACAATCTTAAACCATGTTTTGGCATGTGTATCATTCTGTGCATGTCATATCTAGGTTCTATCCAGGAAAGTGAGCTAATTTGTTGGGGGAAGAAAAGGAAACTAGGAAAGAAAGGTCTCCTCTGTGACAGAGGCGGTCACAACTCCAGCAATGTGAGCGAAGGGGAGCCCTGGTGGCCGGAGCGCTGAGGAGCAGGCAGAGGCGGAGAGAACACGAGAGCTGGTGTTGGAAAGTTGTGCTTAGCCACGTTCTTCCATGTTCTGCACCAGGGACACTGCAGGATATTGACGGTCTGCCTGCTGGAAGCATCCGCATATTTAGAGAGCATATTCTTCACTTTGCCTCCTGTATGCTCCATTGTATCCATACAAAATATTTTCAGCAAAGGTAATACACATCTTTGCTGCAAATATATTGTATGAATATAATAAAGCAGATAAGAGACAACGTTATGGAAACTTTATAATTTTATATATAACTAAAGTCTTAAGGTTGCATAGGAAATTTACACTTGATCTAGAAAAGTGTCTCAGATGTTGAAAAAATGTAGCTTCCCCTGTAGTCATCTCTCCAGTATGCTCTGAGATGTCCCTCCTCACCCTCCCTATGTAGTAGCAGTAGTATCTAAGCTCTCACTCTCTTTTCATTGCTCTTGTCCCATCCTGGTCACTGTAGGTCCTTATTTTTGGTGCAGTGCTGCCCTTGAGGGGAGTCCCAGGTCTCCTTGAAACCACCCCCTGCCCAAAGGTTATCTGCAAAGGCTTCTCTTGGCTCTGCCTGCTGGCTTGTCTATACACTGCATTCACCACTCAAGCGGAACTTCTCTGTTTGGTGATTTGGGGCAAGTTCTGAGTTTTAGGTACTTTGTTTTTTCCTATTGCTGGACCACGAGGGCCTTGATGCTATTGGAGCTTTGTTTTTCCCTGCTTAGATTTTGGCATTTATGAGGTACCTTGTCACCTAGTTGTGTGGAAGCTGATGTCTAGGAGTTATTTCTTTTGCTTTCCTTTTCCCTTATAAGAGTGTAAATCATCAATTTTCAGATAATTGAAGCAAACCTAAATGGAGAATTGAACTTGAAAATAGAAACTGAATTGGTGTGTGTTACAACTCATTTTAAAGATCTTGGAAGCCCTCCCTTAGGTAAGTTTTGCAGTGAGATATATTTTGCTTTTCCTAAATTAAATATTTCGCAGAACAAAATCCTGTTGATCTCTATAAATGTAAAATGGTGGACATTTAGTTGACTAGTTTTCTGTTTGGGGGAGAAGAGTTGAAATGCTGTTGAATTGCCTGTCATTGGCACGGTGGAAAAGTTGGGGGGATGAAGGAGCCATGAAGTGGCTGAATGACCAACACACAATTCCTTTCCTCGTGTATAGATGAGGAAGCAAGCAGATAAAGCCGGTTTCTGCCACTAATAGTTGCAAATTCTCCCAACAATGGAGTCAGACAGATAAACCAAAATTTCTGATGTTTCTTACATTAGACTCTTTCATACTTATAAAATTAAGTTAGAAGACAAACTTTCCTCAGTCAGGTGTAACTTTTCATTTCATACAAAGTAATGAGGGACTTCAGAATCAGTTCAGTAAGCAGGTAAAGGAGGAGACTAGAATAATTGGGTAAATAGTAAATCCCAGGCACTTGGGCTTATGTCCAACAGAGGAGAGAGCAGTTTAAAGTGAGCTCAGTCAGGGAATGGAGGGCAAAGTACCAGTGTGGAAGTCATCTCATACACGTTGGCTCCGAAACATATGATAGGCCCTTTTACAATTAATATATGAATTAATATACTCATAGTGCTTCAAGTTTGCTTGAAAATATACACACATTAATAATGCAGCAAGGGATTTTTCATACTAAAGAGAGTACTGTTCTAGAAAAGCAAAATTCATATTATTAAGGTTTCTACAATATTTGTTTAAGTTGTTTGAGCATTGCTCATTTTATTTTAATAAATAGTTAGAAGTTGGATGTATTATATTTACCCGGAACTTGAAAGGATGCTTGCTTGCTTTGTATTCCATTTTCAGATGAGAGACATTGCAATATATATAATCAGCTCTTATATATGAGTATTGGGTACTAATAAGGACATTTTTCTTTTGACCTGAAGGGGGAGCTGGGGGCATGTTCTAAGTCACTTTAAGTGAGGATCCCTTTAAAATTAGCTCAGAATCCTAACAGGGTTAGGAGGGACAGCTGCTGGCAGCCTGAATGACTACATGCGGTGTGTTACACAGGATGCTAACATCTGAAAGTGGAAATTGTTTATTTTAGTAAAGAGCCATTGCTCCCTACAACATTTGATGATGGTGTGTTTAAAAATGTGTCATTTTAGCTTCTGAAAGTCCTTCTCAAAGTCGAAACCTGGAAGAAATGGCTGAAGTACGCATAGATATTAGGAAGTTCCTACAGTTCCTTGCTGGACAGCAAGTAAATCCTACAAAGGCCTTGTGCAGTGAGTCTTCACCTTTGTTTTGATTTTCATATTCCAAATGTTGTAATCAATTATAATCTAATGGATTGTATTCAGTCTAGGATGCGAAAAAAACAATCTCAGCTATAGAAACCGTTTTCTAGGACAATCCAGTTGGCTTTTTTGAGAAGAATTAGATGATGAAAATACCTGGCTGCACATCTCTTGGCACTGTTTGCTCCTGACGACCTGTGGCCACATGTGGTCGAGCTCTAGACTGAGTAGATGGGCTGAGCTGTCACGAATTGGGTCAATGGGTGGATAGAAGCTGTCAGAAAACATATACTGATAATCTCATTTTGCCACATTAATGTACTTTTACTCCGAGTAGCTGATAAGATTTTGCTTGGATTTAGGCTTCTCATTATAATGTGATGTCTTATTTTCTTACCCTGTCCTGGCCTCATTATCCTGATCTTGGTGTCTGCTCTTGCTCCTGAGTACTGATTTCCTGTGGCAAACACATGTCTCGTTTATCCCATCTTCCACAGATCACAGGCCACTGTGGTACTCTTCATTCACTTGCCACAAATGAGAAAAGGGTTACTTGCCAAGAACTTTTCAAAGCTCCTTTTGTTACCAAAGTCACAGCAACTTGAAAGTAACTGTGGCTTAAATTTGAGGTCAGTGACGTCTACTCTGAGCACAAGCCACCGGTGGTCAGAGTTGAGAAGAATAACCTGGGGAGTGTGCCCGGTATTCGTAAGACTTCAGTGCATTGTGGTGAAAGGGGAGCAAGTAATCTAGGGGGTTCTGTCAGCATCCATTTTGAGGAACCAACTCCAAGAAGAACAGAATAGACCAGAAAGAGGAAACCAGAGGGAGGGAGTGTTAGCTGACTTAGGGAAGGGGCTATCTAGAGGAGATAATGCCTGCAGAGCAAAGGACCACTGCAAAGCTAGAACATTCTGGAATCTTGGCGGAGAGGTACCTTATGGGTCTGTCGCCTTTCTCAACACCCCTCTGAACACCTTTCCCTGTCTGAATTTCTAACAAGCTCCATTGAGAAATTAAGACTAAAATAATCCTGCTCTCTCTGTGATATGGAAAGCAAGGGAGTGGGAAGGGTGTTGGGGTGGCAGTAGGAGGACAGCGGCACCTGCCTTGTAGTGTAACTGCCCTTGAAATGCTACTTTGTGAATCTTTAGAATAGCTCTGAAGGTTAATGAAGAAGACAGAAGAGAGTTGTTTTTATCAGCACAGGTAGTTCGCTGAGTCATTTGTACCTGAATGACATTTTAAAGGGCCAGAAATTAAAGGGAAATAACCCACATTGAACTTGTTAATACTTTTTATCTCTCCCAAACTTCATCTCCTGTCTTGGTGAAGAGCATCTTCCTAGTGTCTACTCAATAGTTCCTTCCTCCTGATACTATCTAATGCCCTTCAGGCTCCACCCCACTGGATCAAGCAGCCCTTTCCTGTGCTGAGCAGCACCGAGAACAAGCTATCTCCTAAAGGAGGCTTCTTTTTACAGGTCGTTGTGTGGACCCCCATCCCTGCTTTCACTCCCTCACCTTGGAGTCAGCTGTGATTACGTGTCTGCTTCTCATTCATCTGTTTCTTGTCAGTGACCGGCTCTGGCTCTGGTGATC